CAGTTAGTACTGGGTGAATCCCTTCACCCATCAGCTCCATCTAAGCCCTGTATTGGCTATTGGTAAGACCCACATGATCAAAGATTCAGATTAGTTAGACAGAGAGCTGATCCACACTTCCTGTGCAGGGGTGCTGGGGTCCTCCAGATCAATACTTCACTGGTTTAAATAGCATGACTACTGATGCATGAAATACATGCATCAGTAGAAATACACACCTCCTGCTGGAAGAAGGCATACTTGGCCTGTTTTACCTTGAGACCCTCTTTATGCAGCCTCCCCAGCACTACCTCCAACCTTTCCGTGTGCTGCTTATCATGGATGTTTTAAAATAACCGGCACACACACCTCGTGAGCAAAGTGAAGTGAATTTAATAAACACATTGCAACATGGAGAGAAACACTGTAGCCAAACTCCAGGGTGCTCTCTGACGATGGCCGCCTCCCTCACATCTTCTATACACACACAGACACTTTCAAACAAAGAAAATTCCACAACACATCACGTGAGTCTATACCTTCAGCTCAGCTCATCCTGGAAACCTTCTCTTCAGAGACAGAGAACTATGACCTTGTTTTCTGCTTAGCTGTCACCTAGAAATTTACATCCCTGATAAGCAGAAGGAGTCCCACTACCTGCTTAACATCTCCCATGAACTTACAATGGCCCGACTGTTTATGTGTATGTGAGTGACAGAGTATAAGACCAATTTGTGGTGCTATTCTACATGCATACAACTGGTGACAATATGAGTCTACAATTACTAAAGTGATATGGTTAAAATATGTGATCAATATATCAGAAAAGAAATCTTCCACCACATGCTCAACAGTAGAAGAGAAGACCACAATGTCATCCAGATATAGGAGCAGTGACTGACACAGACAGGTCTGCTGCATCAGGAGCATCACTAAGGCCAAAAGGCATGCGTGTCCATTCAAAGAGACAAAAAACAGTTTTTGGATGATCTACCTCAGCAACTGGAACCTGGTTGTAACCACTAGCCAAATCCAATGTGGAAAACCAACATGCACCTGTAAGAATATCTAAAGACTCCTCAATACGGGGACCAGGAAAGGCATCTTTCCTGGTCTTACAATAGGGCTTTGGAGCGTGGTGTCACGCCCCCTCCCACCATGACAGTAGGCCAAACAAAGCACACGGAAGCGTCAGGTATGGTTCGTACGTGCTGTGTTGTCGGTTGCAACGTTAGATCACACGATAGGGAAGGCAAGAAGCTGGAAAATGGGCTCTCTTTTCATTGTTTCCCCTCCTGGAGGCAACGGGAGGGATCTCATGTATCCGATATTACTAAACGTCAGGCTTGGATCGCAGCAGTCAGACGAGCAGATATCGAGTTCTCTGCCATCCCCATTTTTTCGTTGGTTTGCTCGCAGCGTTTTCTTTCCGGTAAGTTCTAAATAAATTCATATCTCACTTAATAGGCTTTTAGTGTTATTTTGAATGCACTGAGGTCATAGATCATTAGATAAAACATCCTAATGTGCGATGCTGCAGAACCACGTCATGTTGACAGAGTAGCTTATTATTTGGCATTAATGCAGGCAAACCAGCATATGAAATATGAAACAGAAAAGTATGTTTATCTTTTTTTATTCAAGATCTATTCACATGTACTTAGCAAGTGCATACACATGAAATGCAAACTATTTACATGGCAACGCACAGCTGGCAACCTCTGGCTGTATCTTGTTTGTATCAACCGTTTGTGAATTAGATGTACGCCTCCAGGAATTTATAATTTCGAAAATGATTCGCCGTGTATGCGCTGACTCCACAGACGAGGTACATGAAGATATTGGGATAGGACAACTACCGCCGTCTGGGTTTCCACTCCACTGCCTTTTTTCATACGGGTCCACATTACCGATGCACGCTATTTTTTCCAAGTACCGTCTCTTGGCGTCTGGGTGCAATCAGTCGCGATACAGCCCTTTTGATTTTAAGTAGAGATGGACCGATCCGATATTACGTATTGGTATCGGTCTGATACTGACGTAAATTTCTGGATCGGATATCGGAGAAAAATAAAAAAATGTAATCCGATCCATTAAATATCAAAAAAGCACCTCACAAAACTTGCAACATGGCGTAACTTTGCTCAAAATGTTGTTAAGTAACCATTGTCATTTACCTGAAGAACTGGTTAAGTTTGCTATACCAGTCAGAAACCTGTGCATCCAAAGTAATGTCTGACAAGCAACATGGTGTAAAAAAAAAAAACAAAACACTTAAATCATGTTTAATACAAGGCTTTTATTGAAAAAGTAAGAAACTTTTTAATGACTCAATTTAAATTAAAAAAAACAAAAAAAAAACAAAACACAAGTGTTGACTTGTGGTGAAG